TCCTTCTGGTTTATGAGCAACAAAGATTCAAAACTGCATTCATACGAAAAAAAAGATATGAAAACTATAAACATAAGCTTTTTCCCTCAGAATGCTCCACTCAGCAATTCTACTGGTTTACAATAAACACCAAAAATTAAAGAAGTCACTAAACCAAGTACCATTATTTCACAGTACATATGTTCTTACAGTGCTCACCTGACATAGTGTAATCACTATCCATTTTCATTGCTCCTGAAAACAACATTGGGTAGGAATGAAAAAAGTAAATTTGAAATATATTTACTGCTACAGAAAGAAAACAGGTTTATGCAAATCTATTTCTAGTACTGGTAAATCCATTCCAATTAAGTAATAAATATTGTAGCTACAATATTAGCAGTATTACTGATGATAGTTATGAAAGTGTCTAATTTTCAGAGGCATATTTATCATAATAATAGTTCTCACCTAGCTCAAAAAGATGTTATGAGGATTCGTTAATATTTATACCCATTAGTGTTTTGGAAATAACAAGCTTTATATTATTTTAATTTTTACATGACTAATTAAAGCAATATGAGGTTGTAACTGAAGCCTAAACAAAACCTGTTCATTCCACATAACAACCAGACTTGGACAAATAGTAAAAAATAGTAACAACAACAATAATGATATGCTGTTTTCTATAAATAGTGCTTTTTTACTTCATTCATGCTCTAAACACAAAGTTCAGGGTTTGGACTGGGCCTTTCTGAGGTCTCTTTTGTCCCACCACTCCTGTGAGGTCTATTGCAACAGGGAGAGAGAAAAGAAATACTAAACTCACAACATAAACTACTCGAAAAAAATAGTTGGGCCTGCTCTAATTACAATGATGATTAATTCTTTGCAGCTTTCAGCGTTATAAAAATGCATTCCTTTAGCTGCAAAATAGGTAACAGCATCTGTTGTATCAGCTATAATATTCTCTAAGCCCTAATTGTTGTTCAGAAGTCTTAGCAGTTTGGTCCATATTAATCAGCCAGGGTTTCCTTTGTGTAATTGCTCTTAACTAGCTCAAACATAGTAATGGACTGGTAAATTGGAAATGAAGAACAAATAGCCTTAAGAAGAATCTCAGCCACTTTATTTCCTCTCTTGTGTTACAACGACAGCTATTCATAATAAAGGCAATTAAATATTCTCTATTTAATGTCTCAGCATGTCACTCAAGAAAATCACTTTTATTCTCATTTACTTTCCTCTATTTCTTTTATCACCATTACACAAACTCCACTGGTTAACTCCAACGACCACAGAAAGCTACACAAGCCCGTGGGGTTTGTTCACTTGTCAACATTCTTGCTGCATCAGGCTTGCATTCGCAGAAACGCTACTGAATGTCAGAGGTGGTTTGTTGCTTGGCAGTTTAGGAAATCCCTTTTGGAGACCACAGAGACCCACAAACATAATTCCAGCCCAAACACCAGAAACCTCCATGTGTCCCTGTGGGGCAAGCGTGGAGCTCATCCAGCAATGCTGGTGGAGCCATGCGCTGAGCAAGAGTGGCTTTGACCTGAGAGCACCAGGGACAGCCTCGACCCTCTGCGCCCTTTCTGCTGAGATGCCGTGGCTAAACCTTGATGTGTTTTGGGGTTACTGAACTCTATAGCCAGAGTCCCACACACTTGTTTTGGGGAAGGATGATTTGAAATTAAAGTTTCTCTGGGGGTTTATTTATTCCCTAGTGCTTTCCCAAAACTTCACTCTGTGGTTTCAGCCTCAGGGTGGACCTTGCTCTAGTGTAAAGAAATAAAAAACAAACAACAAAAAAATTGAAAGAGCATTTTAAAGACAAAGAAGCCTGGTGCCTTCCCTATGACCTTTCCAGAAAAAGAACAAATCTTCTGTGTTCAAGGTTAGAAAAGCTCCCTATTATCACAAAGCTTACACAGAATATTGCTGCCGGAAAGACTAAACTTCTGTAAACATAAGCACTCCAAAAAAAGCATTTAGAATTAAACCTGACAGCCTGACTAGCCACAATATACCCACGCCAGTCTCACAACCGCCTGCCAAGCTTCCTGGGAGAAATATATTTTAAGAAACATGCTTTAATTCATTATCCTCTAAGATGATGAAGTGATATAACAGGAAAACACACATTAGTTGTCTCAATGTTTTTGTAAAATAAGTGTTTGCCAGTTCAGGGCTGTGTTAATCCAATGTGGGTGTCACTGCTGTTACCCAGACCCAACAGTGAGTAGAGATGCTCCTGTGCAAATAAACAGAAAAACCTTAGAAAAAAGCTATTACTGGTGGGAATGACTTTGTAGCATTTTTCTTTAAAGTATTTCACTTCACTGGATTGGCACACTATGCATTTCTATTCTACTTCATTGGAGTGACACACTATGCTTCTCTATTTTGGTGTTTATTCCTAACTGGTATTAAAAATAGAGGTTGAATCCATTCATATTAGAATTCAGATAAATTATTAATTCATATGATGTGAATTGATATTATACATATATGTAAATGCAGCACAACTGTATTGTGTAAAAAAAACGATGAAAAGCTCTACACTCACAATTAAAAGCACATCACACTTTTATATGTCGAAAAACTAAAAGCACATCACACTTTTATATGTCGAAAAATAAAGCAACACTTTCTGACACCTATAAAAAAAGTACACAGTAGTTTCAAGAAGTTTCTTTTTTAAAAGTATTTGTAGAATTAAACATGAAATCAATGCCCTTTGCCAATACATTTCCTGAAATTCCCTTTTGACTTTGCAACAAGGACAACTGCCCAAGGCTTTGCTAGTCAATTTCTTGTGTTGCAGAAAGCAGCATACTTTGACTTTTGTCCAAGAACACAGTTTGAAATGCAGAAAATGTGAAAAGCTAACCAACATGCAATTATGTGTAACCACCGTCTGCATACCAAGTGAGAAGAAAGCTGAATAAGCAATTAAATAGTTATTGCAACTTTAATAAACAAAGAGCCACCCATCATGGCTTAAGGACGTAATGTTCAAGAGTGAATCTTACTACCCCTCTATTAGTATGCTGCTTCTTCAAAAAAAAATCTTTGTATCCTTTATAACCATGGATCTTAAGGGAAAAAGGAAGGGGCTTAATTTTGTTTTATTGTGCTTTGTTTCAGAAGACTATTTCAGGAACTCTTGCTATCATAATGTCCTGTATGAATACCAGAACAATTTGCAATGCTCTTTTACGCTGATCCTGAAATCTTGCCAAAGGTCATGTTTCCAGCTTGTCACCTTGGGTTTTCCTTTCTGGAAGAAGACATGGTGTGAGGAACAGAGTACCTGGCTGTGTGCTGCTCTCTCTTCTCCAGCCAGGCATCCAACATACCAAAATCCCAATGTTTTGCCTGCACCTCTAAACCACAGATATGGCAAGCACTGAAATGCAGAGAGGAGGATGAGGAGGAAATGCATTCAGCCCATCCCTTTCCGTCTCCATCTTCCTCTTCCTCCATTGCCTGCATCAAGCATTCCTCTGCAGGTGGAGCACAAAGTCCAGGCTGCAAAAGTCTCTGTGACTTTGCTTCTTGCAGATACTCTGAACATGCAGCCCTTTTGGTTGGTAAAAGTTGAGAATAAAAAGGGAATTTCTTACTACTGCTTTTTAGGAATGAAATTTTTTCTCTTATTATAATTTTTCTTGTTATAGGAATTTTTCTCTCGTTCTCAGAAGAACTGGGGAAGCCCTCTCTGCTTGGGGTTCTTCCAGCTTCCACAATGCATTTGAGCAGTGTCAGCAAAGCGCTTGCACAGCCAAAGGCCAATATCCTCTAAAAGAACTGAATTTTACAAAACACCTCTGGCACACAAGGCAGGGGGCTTTCAGGAAAACGCTTTGCTTGCTCAGTGGCCATTGGGCTGTCTTCCCCGTATTTGGATTTATCTTAACCCTTCCACATCTACCTCAGTCTAGAACTCCAATAAGCTTTGGGTAAGTGAAGTTGCACCAACTATGATTTCCCAGCAAGAAGTCTTTCTGAATTACCCCTCAGGTTTCTGACACACATTGATATGAACTTTGTTCTAACACCAGACATGGTTCTCCTGACTTTTATACCACTGTGAGTCAGGAGTAACTCCAAAGATGACAGCTGAGAAATCAGATGAGCAACAGAGCCACAACCTCTGCTAGCTAAAGGACCAACAAATTTCCTTTGGTTAGCAGCTGAAACTAAATTTATTTTATGGAAGAAGAATTACAGCTACTGGTGAATGAATTATTGTCATTTTGAGGGACTGGTGCAATTTCAGATTATGGAAACAAAATGGTTTATAGATTATCCAAGTAGTACAGCATAGCTATCATTCAAACATTTCAGGTCATATAGCAGCAGAATTTAAAAAGAAAACAAATACTATTCATTCCCAGGAGCTGCTTCCCATGTGTCTGATTCTCTAGTAACCATTTAAAAATGACTCATTATACTTTTCTCTTTTGAAGTTTGGTAGAAAATTCACCCTAATCTAAAATTTAGTAGTAACCTAACGGTGATTTCTTAGGAATGATTTACACCTAAGCCTCTGAAGATAAGGATTTATAATGAAAGTGATAGCTCAACCCTAACTGCAGCACTGGGAATGGTGACACCATAATTAACGTATTATTTCAGTTGTGGGAGACACTGACAGTTGCTTTTTGTTCTTGGGAAGAAATTTATAGTGTGACTGAAAAAGGCACCATGGAAAAAAACTACACAGAAGAGGAAAAGAAATGCTTGTAGCAAAGACATGTCCTTACAATCCCCCCTCCCAAAGACTATAAAATCCTGGCAATGACAGTGTTTCCTTTTCAGTGTAATTTATACCTTTCTCCTCTACTAGATGGCAGTATGACATGCTCTCAGAACAGCTAAGTGAGGGGTTTTCTTTCTTTGTTTCATAACAAGCAATTAATTTAAAAAATCATCTTACTAGCGCAGAAGTGTGTGTATGTGGGGAAGCCTATCACTGGCTGTATATTTTGAAATAGAATCTATTTACTTACTGGTTCAACATTAAAAGCAAAAAGTGCATATTCCCGGTCAGGTGACACTTCATATCGAATAGCCTTTAAGGACACCTAGAAAATAAATCAGACATTGAAATAAATATTTTTCAGTTTTCAAACCAGTAACATCTAGAACTAATTGTTATGACCATGATGTTATGATTGTTTGTTATTTTGTAATTGTTATGATAATGATGAAGAGTACTGCCAGACTAGGTGTCTTGAAAAATGATACATCACATCTCTTTTGAAAAACCAGAAATGTTACATTGGCACATATATGCTCCCAAAAGAAAAAGTATAACTACATAGAGACTCAGACCAGGCAGCTATCTCAAAAAATCAGTATTTTCCTTACAAACCTACTGCACAGTAGCTGATGGGACAGCTGTGGGTGGCAGGTAGTAGAAAACCCTGATAAATGTCAATTTATTAATTCCCTTTCACTCCCTGCAGTTACTGGCCAAAGTGCTGGAGATAACCAAGAGTAAATACCTGCTGGAACAAATTATTATAAAGAGCCACTACTACCTGTCTCATTTAAGACAACACTGAGGAAAACTATTTCATTTCCCGCAGTTAAAAAAGTCTTTGGGATGCTGTGGTGATACAGCTTTCCAGGTGCACCCTGACCTGGGTTCTGCACAAAGCTGTGCTGTAAGTCTTACTAATGAGAATAGATGCCAGCATATCTCAGACTTGTCAGGAATTACCTTTTCCCTGCTCCATTTATCATTTCTATAGTGCAGACATCCCCTCTCCTTTCCATTGTGTTTCAATACAACACATTGCTGGTGCACCAAGGTCAAAGAGAGATGCCACTAACACACCGCTCATCCACTGTCCTTTAAATCTCACCCCCACACCTAACAAATTACATGCAAGTCCTTGAGAGATTCCTAGGAGCAAACTGGAAGGTGGAATTTGGGCTGCAGAGAAATGCACAGCATTGCACTGGGAGAGTCCTCCCCAAGGCCAACAAGGCTGGAGGTGGTTTGTGGGGAACCCAGGGGACAGCCAAAGGCAGAGGGGGCTGATCAGAGAATCACGGAATGCTTTGGGTTGAAAGGGACCTTCAGAGCCCATCTAGCCCAATCCCCCGCAGTTAGCAGGGACATCTTCAAGTAGATCAGGTTACTCAGATCCCCGTTCAAACTGGCCTTGAATGTTTTCAGGGACGGGTCATCTACCACCTCTCTGAACAACCCAATGTGTTGACAGGCCAGTGTGGATCAGGATGAGGGGGTGCCAGGGGAGAGAAAGAGGCAGCAGTATCAACATGAAGACAGATTTTATTTACTGTCATATTAATAACACAGAGAAAGGAAAACATGACAAGATAGCAAAAGTTTTTTTGACTCAGGGCTGGGAAGGAAGAGGACAAAGACAACGTGCCTTGATGAGGTGTAATGGCAGCTCTTGTATTGAAAATTTTTGTATTAATGTGGAGGTGATATTCTGCAAATTTATTTACGGAGAGGGCAGAGGAGCAAGAGTAGAACAGGTAGGTCACGGCATGAAAAAATAGGATGATCTTGTAACACTGTGTTTTTCTTATAAATGGCAAAAGTTAGAAACCAGAGGAACAAACAGAGGTTAAATGGAAGCATTTTGACTTCAATAGACCTTGACATTAAAGGAAGCCAGTCCATTCTTTTACTCTTAGAACTGTAAAGGGGGTTATGCTCTGGTAAAAGAGGATTGTTTATGTGATGTAGCAAAGGTTGAAGGTTAAATGGCAGCATGTGAAGTTTAAGGTTGGGTCCAGCAATAACAATTCAGTGATAAATTCTTTGTCTCATTAAAAAAGAATTAATACTGTATTTGAGATTTGTATGAGTCTCATACCCATGCTGCAAAATAAAATCAACCTGGAATGTGATTTTATAGTTTTCTTGTAGATTTACTTCTAGCTTTCGAGTTTCTAAATCTGTTTTCTGCAGATCTTGGGTCATTAAGATAAGTCTTTGCTAGCCATCCTCTGCTTTTGTAGTTTTGCAATGATACAGTACAATAAAAATGCCTCAAGTTAATTAAAACTTTAGGCAGGTACTGAAGGAGCGACAATTTTACTAGGATGATGTGATTCATATCTCATTGTTGGAGCAAACATAAGCATATTTTACTTCAGAAATTAACTTCTTACAGGAAGTATTGAAAACACTCTGACATTTAATGTACTAACTTCTTCCGCAATGTTGGCTTCATCTACTACAAATACTCTGTATCAGCTGTGGATTTATTTTCTTTTCATTCATTTTAATAGCCACCTACTAACTTCTTTTCCCAATAATTTCCTAGGGTTTCTCTCATATGCAACTCCACTTCCATTCATTAACACTATTCATTAACAAGACTGAAACTACCTTTCAACAACTAGGCAAGAAAAATCAGCAAATCTACAAATTAAAAAATAAGTATTTGCATGGAGGAATGTGGAAAATGCTACCAACAGACAGTAAATTGTATCAATTGTCTTTTCTATTAAGCAAGCAAAGAGGAGAATTATACAACTTTCAATTATATATGATATGCAAGACTAGCTTCAAATATCTATATGATGCTTCTCTGCAGTATGTAAGAAACTGAGCTTGCAGAATAATATCAAAATCTGGAGTTCAATTTCACATTATCAGTCATTGCGTAGCCCGTAGTATTATTGGTGTATTGCTTCTCCTTGACAATACACGAAGTTGAAACCTAAGTCATTTTATGCTTTACTGATCCAACTGCAAGAGAACTCTGAAATTCTGCTACTTGTTACAGAAAATACTTACAATTTTTTTGTTTTCTATTAATATTGTTGAATTGTTAGTTTCGACATTCCTCAGAATCACTGTGCCATTCTGGTTTCTATAAATGAATTCATTATCTGCAAGGAGGAAAAGAAAAGAACATTAAGGAAATCTGAAATTGTCTGTATGTGTAGAACCTAATTACCGGCTTGAACCAAAAGGATTGCTGGAAACTTCCCTCTAAAGAACACAAATTTCATTTTTTTTTTAATGCAGCTGTTGCTGTGATGTTAAAGTATCTTCCAAGTCAGTCATTAAACATGGTTAGTGTTTGTCAGAGGTTTATTCTGCCACACTTTCCCAGAGCTGAATGCAAGAGTGTGACCTGTTTCAAATGTACATACGCAGCTTCCTGTGTTGTCAGTGTACAAAAATACAATGTCAAAAAACATTTCTTACACGTAAAGTTTTCCAAGATCCTCAGTCTCTGTAGGAGTTTAATAAGCCAGATGCCTAGAAAGTCTTTGAAATTTAAACGCAAATCAACTTCTAACAAAGCAGATTCTTGAACCTAACATTATGCAGATCTTCCAACTCTGCCATTTGTCCTGCAAATCAATACCAGAGGAGATGTATGGGAAGAAATTGCCATTTTCACATGGAACAAGACAAATTGGCTTGTTCCTATTGTGCTTTGGGATTACCCCAGCACTCAGGAACTCTGGACGAGGACAAGAATCCCCCGTAGTAGCTGCTGCACAGGTGGGAGGTAGTCTCCAGCTCAAAGCTTGAAATCTACTTGACAGAAAGTCTGGGGTAGACATATGACGGAGACTCCAAATGAGGGAGAAGCCATTCCTGATTGTCTGCCCTCATTGTGGCTACCCCAGGGTGGCTACCGTGGTGCATCCCACAAGTGTTAGGGACATGTGAACAGCTAAAAATAACCTGTGGGTTGTCCAGGGATGAGTAAAAGGTGAGTTTAAATCCTACCGGATTCATAAAAGCACGGACCTAACTCATTGTAACCTCAAACAGATATGCACTGCCCAGCTCGGGTTAACCTGCTGAAGACAACATTGGGGTCAGAGACCCAGTTCTTCTAAAATTTTGGTGTACAGACCTAGCATACTCATTCCTTATCTATGTTTCAGTCTTTTATAATTTCTAAACTGGTGGTGACAATCCTCATCACAGTCATTAACCATCTTTGCAAAATGCTCTAAAAGCGCAGACAAAAAGCTTCTACACTCTATTTATTATCAATAAAAAAATCATGTCCTACCTATCACTGTTTTCCATGTAAGCATAGTAAAAAAAAATTCTTTTCTGAGATTGGGATGATTCAGATTCTGTGAGGCCTGGCTGTTTCTGCAATACAGGTAATCCTCTTCAAACAACAAGATTTTAGAGCCTTATGATTCTCAGTGTCCAAATCACAGCAGCAACCCTTAAAACTCACAGGCAAAGTTCTCAAAGCATTACTTTTTTTAATTATGGAATAAATTTTATCAACACCTTCGGTCCTGAACAAAAAATGCAGGATTTGAATTAGATTAAGACTTGCATTTGAGACCAGAATAATGAAGAGAGTTCCTGTTTGGATTTGACAGTATTAAAACTTTGCCACTAGTTCTGGAGTGCTTTTCAAGGGCATGGCATTTTCTGAAGCATGTCTGATTATAATCAGGACTTTAAAATATTGCTTCATACAACTTATGACTGAACAAACAAATATTCTTCAACCTGGAAAAGAAGTGATGGAACAGAATGAGGACAGAAGTCAAAAAAATCATAAGCAGCATTGAGAAGATGAATAATGAATTCTCATTCCCTGCCTTTTCCAAAATAAATACTCCAAGGCACTAAATGACACCAGCCAATGACTGGTTCAACACAAATAAAAGGGATTATTTCTTCAAGCAGAAGGTAAACAAGCTGTGAAGTCACAGTCCCAGAGCAGAGCAAGTGCCAGGATTGCATTTGGGTCCAGACAAGAATTAGAAGCACAGAATAAAAATCCATCACAGATTATGGGCCTTGAGGGCAGATGCTCATCAGAGAGCCCTTGAACCTGAGATTGGAAAGGACTAAAAGCATACCCTGAATGACCACCTTGATAAATTCACACTCTTTTTAAAATCTTCCCTAAGCATTTGCTCTTGTCCCTGGCCAGACACCAGAAGAGATGATCTCTGGGGTCTGATCCAGCACCAACTTCTTTACGACTTCAACTTTCAGCTTCTGTGTCCAGATACTGAAGAAATGCCTTTATGGCGACAATTTAGGAGGTGATACAACAAAAGGTGTTAGTGCTCCCTACACACCTTGCCCATTTACATCCTTAGGCCGTAAAAGCTGAAGCATCATTTGTTATATGAGGAAAGTACACAGTTCAATTTTTTATTTTCAAGTGTTCCAGAAATAACAAGAATAACTAAACTGAGAGGCAGAATATTACCTAATTATCAGACCTTTTGAAAAAGATTACTGATTTAGTAATCACCCTATGTCAACAACACAGAATGTTTTCGAATTACATACTAAGTTCTAGATGGAAAAATCACATTTAAATACGACCAGCAAAGCATTTGAATAATTGTAAGCCTCTCAGGATATTTCCTAATTACAGAAAAAACTGAGTTCAAAATTCAGTCCATAGGTAAAGTAGCTGATTAATCTAATGAGTCTGTGGGGCTGTTTGGTAGCTGTTTCTTGAGCAATGCAGGAACTGATGGAAGTTGCATTACCGCTCATAATGACATTGCAACTAAACTTTTATTGCTCCCTATGCTCCAAAAAAACATAACGCTTTAATAAACTGTGAAACTTCAAGATGATTACATAAAATTTGCTCCGTAGTTGCAAGTAGGAGATGAAAGACTTTCCCATAATTTGTTGAAGTGTAACAAGTTTAAAATCAGGTGTTAATCTGCTGCATGTACTGCTGGCATGAATAAGGAAGAATAAATGAAGCAGCGCTGATTTGTTAGGGCTGTAAATCTTGCTATTATTTTCATTACAAGCTATCAACACAGCATCTGCATTAATGAACAGAAAATTGGTCGCTTAAGAGAAGAAGAAATTGATCTGCATTATATTCCAAGCAAAACTCTGTGAGGTTTAGCTGGTCTGTAAGTCATATTATCTTAGTCCTCAAAAGAATCACTGAATAATATTCTTGGACTTCTGTTTTGAAATGTGTGATTTGTTCCAGTGCAAGAGCATTTATTTAAATGGGACATACCTCAATCAAAAATGAAAAGCAATGCAGCAACCTATGTCTGTAATGGATTCTGTCCAGCGAGCTGATGAGGATTTGCAGCCTGATTTATAGCTGTCACCACAACTGATAAAGGTCATCACTGCATCTCATTTTTTATACCCTCCTTTCTTTGGGGCTGGTGTTCTGTGTAAATGATGCTGAAAATTGTAACTTTCAGGCATAAAGCCATTTATTCCATTATATAATGGATTTCTTCAACAGCAGAGTTCACTTCACCAGCTCCTCCCCCTCTTTCAACTTCCAGGAAATTGTCTGGTTGGCAGAATATGTTTTGTGTCTGTGAGTGTAGACACAGCTATGTGGTCACGCTTACGAAAGTGACTGATTACCAAAAGCAGTGGTTACCAGAAATAACAGAGCTGTACAGAGTCAGCGGAGAGGAATGGGGGAGCCTGGGCAGGAATTTTTAAAAACCTGCAGAGTAAAACAGGTGAAATCAGGAAACCCAAGACCAATAATGTATTTACAGTGTCAGAATTTCCCAGCTTCTTTGTACACATCTTTCTTAAATTCGGTCATGAAATATGCGCACAGAAAAAATGGATCTAGTGACAGGGAGCTCGCATCCCTTGCAGTCGCTGAGTCCTTGCCAGGAACCTCACACAAGAGGGTTTGCTCAGCCTGGCAGTTCTACCCGCTGGCCTCTTGTTTAGGGTGAAACACGACAAAATACTGGGATTTCGCTTAAGAGAATAATGCATTATGCATTATGGCCCCAAAGTAGGCTCTGCCTTTTCAGGCATGCTACCTGGCCAACCCTTCTCAAGGTTTTACCATCAGAAAAAACATGATGTGTCTGGAAATCTGCCCACTGGTGCTGCCATGACATTGAACCTGGAACTAGCAGTTGCAACCCAGCAGAAAGACCATGAGGCTGTCACTGGTATCATTGGAGGACCCCAAATCATGAGCTCAATATGAAGAGGCAGCCAAAACAGCCAACAAGATGCTGGACACCATCAAGAGAGTAAGACAGCATAGATCATTTGCCATGATATTAAACAAAGAAGTACAAAAATTCATGGACAACTGATAAACTGGCAGAGATTAAAGGAAATAGGCAGGATATCATCCCTAATGCAGGGCTGCCTCATCATGGACCCCTAAAAGGGGCCAGGCTCAAGTCCAACACGGCATCAGCTATTACCATGATTAGAGACCTGACACTGGGCTAGAGGAGGACTTGCCTGAGCCAACACCACTTCTTTTTACATCACTACGTGTCAAACTGGACACCAGATTATCACTGTGGACAAGAATGTCTGGGACAATTCTACCTCTAGGAAGACGTAAATTAGAATGCTGGTGGTGCAAAGAAGCTGAAAGAATTACATCCAGCCACAGGAACACAGATTTGCATTAGCGTCAGTGCTCATGAATTTATGGCTGTACAGCTTCTCTGATGAGACTAAATAAGTGCACACTATCAGAGATGAGAGACTGGCTTATAAGAGAATAGCAGGACCAGCATGCTTTTGAGAAGAAATTTCATTATTTGTCAGAGATTACAGAAAGCAGAGCTATGTGATAAAATATGGGAAGAAATAAGAATTTAAATCCAGCTCTAAAAAATATTTTTAATAAAATTGTAACGTTCTATCAGTTTTGCAAATGATGAATGAAAAGCAGGGAAAAAAAAAGTTATAAAATTCACATGCAGCAAGTCAAAGGTAACAGTCACTGACAGGCAGAAGGTAGCATCAGGATTGTTAGGACAGGTCCAGCCATTTAGAGCCACAGACTTACAGGAAAAGGCAACTTCTCAAGTCCTGTAGTTTCAGAACAACAGACATGAAAGATAATTGAATGAGTCTCACTCAGATGAAAGTCAGCATCGGGGGAATTATCATT